ACAATCAATACCTGAGCTTCAGCAAGAGGATCCCAAAATCCAGCTGCCCCAGCAGTCACTCCTGATGGGCATTTCCCCTTTTCTCCTGCTCAAGAACAACACAAACATTTATTTGTGATTCCTGCAGGCACAATTCTGTTAATCAGAGGTGAAGGGGGGGCAGCACAGGCTGAGGCACACAAGGTATTTACAGAGAGGTTTTTCACGTAAAAGCCGTGTTTGCATTCTTCCCTGAAATCTGGGGTTTTCAAATGGCTTTTACTACTTTTTATGGAGGGTGATAAAGCCAAGTTTTCCATTAGAAGGGCACCTGTAAAGCAAGTTTCTACACTGGAAGCACAGCAGCAAAAGCAAAGAGACATTTCTGACACAGCTTCAGCTCTGGAGGTGAAATTCTCTACTCGTGGAGCCGAGAACCAAACACCAACGCCCCATGTAAGAGAAAAGCCCCAAGAGAAAAAATCCATTCTCCAGCCACAAATCCTCTGGGACACTGAGAGATCCAAAAATTAACCTCTCAAAATGCTGATTCCCAAGCAACCAAGGGACTATGGCTCCAAATTCCATCATTTCAGCAGAGCCCAATGCCATAGAGATGGAAAGCACAACTCACCCTAAGCTTTAGGACAAACAAGAATTCCAGGAGATGATCCAAAGGGTCAGCCCCTAACTCACCCTAAGCTTTAGGACAAACAAGAATTCCAGGAGATCTCTAAAGGATCAGCCCCCAACTCACCCTAAGCTTTAGGACAAACAAGGTTTCCAGGAGATCTCTAAAGGGTCAGCCCCTAACTCACACTAAGCTTTAGGACAAACAAGAATTCCAGGAGATCTCTAAAGGTTCAGACCCCATCTCACCCTAAGCTTTAGGACAAACAAGAATTCCAGGAGATGCTCTAAAGGGTCAGACCCCATCTCACCCCAAGCTTTAGGACAAACAAGAATTCCAGGAGATGCTCTAAAGGGTCAGACCCCACCTCACCCCAAGCTTTAGGACAAACAAGAATTCCAGGAGATCTCTAAAGGGTCAGCCCCTAACTCACCCTAAGCTTTAGGACAAACAAGGTTTCCAGGAGATGCTCCAGAGAAAGGACAGGGCTGGGGCTATCTCAGAACAATTACAGGGAGCACTCCAGCCTCAAGTGCCTGAAGCTCTGGTTTGGTTTTCACTCTAATGGCACTGAAGAGAGAACTGACGAGAGGCTGATTTCCCCGAGAAGAGATTCCAGGAACTCCATCCCACCGTGCCAAACGCATTAGGGACAAGCCTGCCCTCGCTGGGCTCTGCTGGATGCAGGGCAGGGTATAAACCACAGCACTCAGAGGCTCCATCCCTATAAATAACTTCAATATCAGAGGTATCCGAGCTCCCCACACCCTGCTCCATGGGATGTTGTTAACTGTTTCTCTTGTGTGCCTGACCCATGAATATTCTTACCGATGGCCAGGCAGTCCTGAGCACTTCTCCTCCCTGCAGGAACGTTTTTCTCGTGCAATAAAGCTGAATAAGGTGCACCTCCTACCTGCTTCTAACTGGGATTTCAAAGTACCTTTATAACCAAAAGAAAAATCATCTGTAAATCCATTAAAAGTAACTACTACGAAGGGCTGGTGCTTCCTCCTGAAGTGAATTTGACTTGCAGAGACCCACAGATCCTCCCAGGACGGGGAAGGTTTACCCAAAGTTCTCTGGCACTGTATTTATGTGCACGCAACAATCTGGGGTTTCTTGGCAATAAAAAAGGGTTATGGATTGAGGCTTGGACAGTTCAGCTGCCAATTTTATCCCTCTGATACCTGCAACCCCAGTGCTGATGACCTAAAGCTCAAAAAAAAGATACCCAGCCCAAAAATCAGTGCAAAATACAATTCTGCTGGCACACACCAAATTAGAGCACGAACAAACGTAATCCACGGGCTCAGATAACAATGAAAAGTAGATTATATTTACTTTAATCTCAGCAACACACAGCCACAGCAACTTATAAAAGGATTAAACAGGAAGAGCTCGTAATGCAGAAGTGTAAAATTCTAATTGAACACCGAAACAGGTAGATGATGTTTATTAAAATTAGGGATGCAATGCCACAGGTCACTGTTTTTTGTCACTGTTATCCCAAAAGTGCCTCCCTGGATTTCAGGGAGGGGTATTTCCCAACTGAGAATATTTCTAAGAGGTTTGTGTTCCTCACCATTGTGTGGAAATGCTGTGATGAATTTTCATTCAAACTCTTGGCTCACTTTTTTTTAAAGTATAAATTATGTCTAACAAGAAACACACCAGGGATCTCTTCAATCCCCAAAGGCACTTTCTTAAAAGGAGAGAGAACAAAGGAGAAAACCTCCCAGCATGTGCTTTCCAAACCAGCTTCTTAGGACAGTATCAAGAATGACAATACTTGAACATAAGCTTTTCTTTTTCATTCTTTGATCCGTGGTTAATTGAATTGATTATTGCAAACTGTGTAATGATTTCCAAAATGCTGGAGTGGAAGGCAAAGATCACAACAATCTAATAACCAATTTAAAGAGATGTAAGAAATATTGAAGGAAAGATTTAATCACTCAAGTATACTCCTTCCAATTAGAAAGAGCTTTAAATAGCTTACCTTGAGATAAATTAGAGTCTGGGTGCAATTAGACAGGAATAGTAATTAAGATCAGGAAAATTCACATATGCCTCAGCCTATGGAGTGAGGGAGGAGTCTGCAGAAGAACAAACTTTGCAGTTACCTTATTTCAGCAGCAGAAAGGGAAACATACTGCTTCAATTTATCCCAACCTTCCCGAGTACCCAGGAATTCAGGAACCTCACCAGGCTGGGATCTGCAAAGTTGTGTTTCATCTTATCTGATTATTTTTTTCCCCCCACAGAACAAACAATCCCAAATGGGGGCAAAAAATGCTGAAAGGCTCTCGCTTGTGGGAAAAAAATACATTACGGGAAAGGCAATTTCATGATTAAAACTCCATGAAAAATTGTGGCAAGTCAGACTGACCACTGCTTTTCTGGAGAGAGCAAGAACTTTAATTTTCCTTTGGCAATAGCACCCATCATATCACATTCCCCAATTTCCACATGTGGCACTCCCCACACATAGCCCCAGGGTTCTTTGCACGGGAAGGCAACAAAGTTTTAGAAACTTGAGTAAGTTTTTCTGACAAGCTTCTTCTGGCCAGGCAAGAGTCCCTGCCCAAGTATTACAGTTGATTTTAGTTTTTAAAGGTCACTAAATCTGAAATCAATCCCATTTGCTAATTAATCAGAGGTTTATAAACCTTAAGAACTTTAATTTTCCTTTGGCAATAGCACCCATCATATCACATTCCCCAATTTCCACATGTGGCACTCCCCACACATAGCCCCAGGGTTCTTTGCACGGGAAGGCAACAAAGTTTTAGAAACTTGAGTAAGTTTTTCTGACAAGCTTCTTCTGGCCAGGCAAGAGTCCCTGCCCAAGTATTACAGTTGATTTTAGTTTTTAAAGGTCACTAAATCTGAAATCAATCCCATTTGCTAATTAATCAGAGGAGAACCATACAAGGTTTTACCTAAGAAAATAATTAAAGGAATTCAGGAATTCACTGGTCATTCTTCAAAGAGCAGAGTCTTAATCACAAACCCTCCCTCAGCTACCTTTCAACTCCCAAAAAAAAGAACTTAAAAGCACGTTTTCTGGGGATTTACTCCTGCTTAAAAAATAGCCAGTGTCCCCAGCCACGATGCCAGAGCTTTCCACATTTTTCTGAGGAGCACTCAGCTCCTGCAGCACCTGAGAGCCTGGAGAGCTGCAGGGTGACAGCTCCAAGCCCAAGCAGGAGATTTTGTGCCCCCTCTCCTTCTTGACAGAGCAGGACCCACCCATGCACCTTCTTAATTCTGTACTGTCTAAAGACAAAAAAAAAAAAAAAAATTAAAAAAATCAGAACGTCCTGAGGTCTTCCAGAATTTATGAAGTAATTACTTTTTTGTTAAGCAAACTGCCAAGCTCCCATCGGTACAGAAAAAAGCCCAACTTTTCACAGAGTGCCATCCTCCAGTCCCTGCCTGCAAGCACCACTCAGTCATAACCTGAACAGAAAACTGAAATTGAGAATAAAACAGTAACTTTGGCATTTACCCTCCACATCACTGAGGCAGCACGGGCACTTTAGGAAATACAAATTTAAAAAACTCTGATTTTTCTCTACTGGTTCTCAAGAAGGAGATTTCTAACAGTGATCAGTGAAGGGTTTGGAATGACTTTATTCCCTGTCTCCCATCTCTCTGAACTCCTTTTGAGTCCCTCTTGCTAATAAAGGCATCACATAAAGCCAAGCTGGCTGCTGTGCACCACGAAACTCTGGCAGTTACTTACCAAAACACACTATTCCATTTGCCACGCTAAAATTAACAAAAAGTTGAGCACCGAAATCACATCTTAACCCTTTGATCTCGTTATGTGGGAAGCAGAGCTTGAAAAGAAAAAAGGCTTAAGGACTACACAGCTCAAGCAACACAATGTGGTCTGAAGACACCCAGAAAAACGAAGGCCAGAGGAGGATTTAAAGGAGGATCTGAAGGCTCCTGACCCACACAAGCCAGAACACACCCAAGATTTGATATTTCTTCACCTGCTGACAGCTCCTTAAGCATCTAAAAATGAAAGCGCACGGTACCTTTGATACACAGAAAACCGAGATCTACCAAACCTCAGGGGAAAGACAGAATATTTCCTTAGTCATACTTGACATATTCCGTAGTTTATCTTACACATTTCAGGCGCCCGTGCCCGTACACATTTCACATCCACCTGATCCGTGCCCGCTCGCTCTGCGAACTTTAAGAGGCAGGAGCCCTCCTGGTGAATAACGACCCTGTGACAACTGCGAGGAAACTCTGGAACTTTTAACACCCTGCAGGGTGTGCAGGGCACAGTCCGCACCCACACACGGCCTCAAAGCGCCCGCAAAGTTTCGGGGGGGGGGTCTTTTCCTGGGATTTTTGGGCGGATGCTTACCACCCTCTATCCTGCGGCTGCTCTTCCTCAAAACTGCTGATTCTTCTGCGCCTTAGGAAACCCGAAGTTCCGCGTTCGGCAGAGCTCCTCCCGCTCCTGCCCCCCGGGTGAGCGCCCAAATCGCCCCCCCCCCCAAAATCCTCCAAAAACGCCCCAAACGCAGCGACCCCCGCCCGGGCAGCGCCGGCCCGGCTGCGGGGCGGCTCGGAGCGCCCCGTTTCCATGCGTTCCGCAGGATGACAGGGACCGCCGCCAGCTCAACACCGCGGAACTCCTCCACATCTGCTTGTGACGTTCTTTATTTACCGGAGGGGCGGCGAGCCGGCCTCCCCGGCGCGCTCCCCCCGCTGTCACCGCCGCTGCCGGGGGTCGCTCCCGCCGGACTCCCCTGCAAACTTCGCGGGGCGCCCGGGGCTCCGTCCCCCGCCCCGGCAGCGGCCGCGCCGCCCCCCGCGGGGGCTCCCCCGGCCGCCGCCCTCAGCCCGCGGCGGCGCACCCCCGCCGGCCCCCCCCCCCCCCCCCCGCCGCCCCGCCCGCCCGCAGCGCGCAGCGTTTGAATCGCGGCGCCATTTTGTGCCTCCTCGGCCGGGCCGTCCCCGCCGCTCCGAGCCCTCGGCCCGGGGCCGCCGCGCCCACCGGGCTCTCGCTGCGGTTCCCGAGCCGCCTCGGGGACGCCGTGTGGCCGCCGCCCTGCCCGTAAAGTTTCGCCGTGCGCGGCGCGGCCCCCGCGGTGCTGCCGGCCCCGCTGCGCGCTCCGTGAGGGGCGCGGGTCCCTCCGGGCGCCCCGGCTCCCCTCAGCGCCGCGGATCGCCACAGGGCAGCGGTGGATGTGCCTTCCTGCAGTAATAAATAAATTGATTAAAATGGGATTTTGCAGCTCCGCGTCCTGCTAGTTAATCCGCGGGTTTAAGATCTTTAAGAGTGGAACGGGATGGGGCCGTGGTACCTCAGCGGGCGCCGGCGGAACCTCCGGCTTCTGGTCTGCACCAAGCGGGAAATGATGAGTTTTATTTTGGGGAATTGTGAGTTTTGTTTCCCTGGGCTAGTGCGGAGAAGTTCAGCAATCACCGTGAGCTCCCCCGGGTTTTCCTGTTACCGATGAGCAGCAGTACAGGTGTTTTAGGAGTCCCAAAGAGCAGAGAGTTGGGATCCAAATACGCTCATTTCGTGTCAATTTTGAGCGAAATTTGTGTTCTTCAACAGCAAGCCAGGTAGTACAGACGGGGAAATATCTACCAAAATTCTGCCTGGCGAGATGATGGCATCAGTTGTGAATTTGGTGTGTAGGTCACTGTAGCTTCATTCAGCTTTTTTCTACCTGTGTGTTATTCCGTAAATATAGATCACCATGACAATTTCTCTCCTTGGCCTTCACCTTAATGCACAGAACAGAACAAAGAAGACAAAATTTCCCGGTTTTCCACAGCTGCCATAAAATCCATCATCCTACATTCAGAAAGCACTTTGATTACGGGCACTGAAAATAAAATAAAGCTTTAATGTCTCAACTCTGCAGATTCAAACAAGGCGTGCAGGGAACCTGGGGTAAGATAACCACGAGTGGCAGTTACAGAATTTAAAGTTAAAACATTTGACTCAGAGGGTTATCCATTGTTTAAAATTAATAGTTTGTGTTAAGGGAAGAATGGGAGAGAGGTGTTAAATGTGGTTAAGGACCTTTTGATACAACACTGTTTATTGGTAAGATTATTTATATGAAGTCCTAGAAAAACAGCTCCTAGTGAGTAGGGATGACAATGGAATGGTATCAGGATGTGTCACATTCCATCAATCCTGGACAAAATTGTATGGATTTTAACCAAGGTGGTCACACATACTTAACCTAGAAAAGGAACATATATCAATTATATGAACATATATAAATATGTGAACATATATATAAATTATGTGTTTAATAAGCAGATTTTTGATGGCATCCTGTTTGTGGTAAGGATATAATGAAGTCTGATGCGCTGAGCAAAGCACAGCACTCACATCTCTTTCCAAACTTTTCATTTCCCACCGTTTCACCCAGAAATCTTCTCCAGCCTGGCAGGAAACTCCTGGCTGACACCCCTCTTCCTTCACCCCTCATCCCAATTCCAATGCCCGCTCTTCTCCTGGAGCTCTGCCGCGTTCAAACGAAGCGCTCGGAAAATGAGCAGCAATTAGAGGAGGCTGATGAGCAGCACTGCGTGTGATGAAGATTTCTCTCGCTGTCTGAAAGGCTGGTTTGGGGAGGGGGCAGGGTGAGATAGCTAAAAAAAAAATAAAAGTCAGATGACTCCAGCACGCCCACGGCTCCCAGAATTAGCCCGTCTATTTCAGTGGTCTGAGGCAGCCCAGTGCAGAACCCTTTCGTTTGAAATTATTAAACACGTGTCATAATCCTGAGCTGATATGATCAATGAGTTCACAGCCAGCTGAAAGAATTTGGCCTCAAAGCTCTGTAATTGTGCGGAGACAAATCCTCGGTTTATTCCAATTACTTTTGTATTTTTTCCCCCCGAATGAGGCTGCTGCACAGCCAAACTAGCTTTTCCTCTGCTTCTTCACTTCCTACCAAATTCAGTGGGATGTGGACATGTGCTTCAAGTGTTTTGCTAAATCATGGCACAACACTATCAAACTTGACACGTGGCCATAAACCACAGCGTCCTCTCTCAAAACTTGCTTTAAATAAAACAGCCCCAGAATGGCTTCGGCTGCATTAAAATAAGGAAGCAAACTAAAAAAGGGGATACAGAAAATCAGGTTTAAAATGGTCCTGCCAGTGTTTTTTTTCCAGCCAAACCTCACCCAGGCTCTTCATTTTTTTTTTTTTTTTTCAGTTTGGGCTTTTTGATAGTCACTCCCTTTTCAGTGCAGAATATACTGGAGGTTGGAGAAGAAACTTAATGAGAAAAACAATCTGCAGTTCTATTTTTAGGCTATTATTTACATGTAGTGAAATTTTGTTCCTCTCTGCTCCCGAGGCTCAGATGATGGTTTATCGCCAAAAAAAGCCTTTGTCAACACGCAGTCATTTCCAGAGGTGCTCTCAGTGGCTCCAGCTGTGGCAGTGATGGCAGCGCTCAGATTGTCCAAAAATTAAATCTTTCATTCTCTCTCCATTTCCAAAAGAAAATACTGGGATGCAACTGGAGTAGGGGAGAACAGCCCCAAAACAATCCTCCAGTTGTCCTCCTTCTGAGCTAAAGCTATGGTGTTTTATGATTTTTAATCTCTGTGGGGAGGGAAAACGAAAGATCAAGATTTCCCTCAACCTTCCAAAATTTTGATATTTTCAATTCCCAGTTTTGCAAAGTTGCATTTCCCCCTTTTGGCCATATCACAGTAAAATAAATTATTTGAGAATCTGTCTCCTACCCCCCATTTCTTTTCTTTTCCTCTTCTGTAACTTCCCAAAAAAATGTATCGTGTCACATAACTCACATGCTCAAAGCCATGTTCAGACACAATAATATTTTTTAAAGATATGCATTTTTTCTGTGAACATATTGTTTTCATTAGTCTGAGTATCCACGAATTCCCTCTTTGCCTAATAATGCAAATTTACTCTTTGCTTAAAAGTAATACAAGAGCATTTCTGAGCCTGAATAAAACTGATTTAATGAGAGACTCTCAGTTACTATTTCTTGATAGAAAACACAACCAAGCCCTTAAAATCCCTTTATTGCTGAGGTTGAAGTGTGTGAAATACCCTTTTCTGAGGGACAGAAAGAGGAATATTTTAGTGAAAACTACTTGGCTGCACGAGAAGACAATGGAATAGCCAATATCTGATAAAATAAACCCATTTTTAACTTTATAACAACACATGTGGCTCCTTGTGCTGAGCAGGAACTTGATGTGGAGCGGGCTGGCACGAACATCTCCCCAAAATCCACATCCAAGAGCAATATCAGACCAAATTATATCATATTGTGTTTCCATCCTCTCCCAGGCTGGGCCCAAACCAGGGCTGCTGCTGAGAAAAGAAACTGTGCAATGAAAACTGCCAGAGGGGGAGTTCAAATCTGAATTTAGGGAGCGATCCTGGAGCATTTGGGGAGCGTCACCCCAGCAGTGGCACTATGGAAAGCGCATGCAAATGAGTTTCTGGAATTGTTAATGAGGTGGCGGTGTGACACATCCCTCATGTCCCGGTTCTTTCTTTCCCTCCTCTGACATCCAGGCTGTGCTCACACGCTGGAGTTCACAGCCCGCCCTGCCTTTGCGCAAACTCTGCCTCGCTGCCATGTCTGCAAACCTCTACAGCAATTCACATTTCTCACCTCGCTCTGGGACTGCCCTGCAGACCCAGGCTGTACTCCTGGCCTGGAGTGACAGAATTCCCAGCCGTATTCCCAGCCTGGAATCACAGAATTCCCTGTCTGGAGTGACAGAATTCCCAGCTGTATTCCCAGCCTGGAGTGACAGAATTCCCAGTTTGGAGTGACAGAATTCCCAGCTGTATTCCCAGCCTGGAATGACAGAATTCCCTGTCTGGAGTGACAGAATTCCCAGCTGTATTCCCAGCCTGGAATGACAGAATTCCCATCTGTATTCCCAGCCTGGAATGACAGAATTCCCAGTTTGGAGTGACAGAATTCCAAGCCCTTATTCCCAGCCTGGAATGACAGAATTCCCAGCCTGGAATGACAGAATTCCCAGCTGTATTGCCAGCCTGGAATGACAGAATTCCCAGCTGTATTGCCAGCCTGGAATGACAGAATTCTCAGCTGTATTCCCAGCCCAGAATGACAAAATTCCCAGCCTGGAATGACAGAATTCTCATCTGTATTCCCAGCCTGGAATGACAGAATTCCCAGTTTGGAGTGACAGAATTCCAAGCCCTTATTCCCAGCCTGGAATCACAGAATTCCCAGCCCTTATTCCCAGGCTGTACTCCCAGCCCAGAGTGACAGAATTCCCAGCGGTATTCCCAGCCCAGAGTGACAGAATTCCCATCGCGGCCCCTGTCACTCCCCAGCCCCACAAGGCCCTGCAGCTGCAGGACAATGGCCATGGCCACCACAACCAGCCCCTTCTTGCCCAGGATTTGCATTCTCGGGATGATCCTGGGGTGGGAGGGGCTCCCAGTATCCCCCAGTCCCCCGTCCATGTCTGTACTGGTGTGGGCCACCTGCCCGCAGATGGGGGGGGGACACCTGGGGACAGGGTTGGGGACACCTGGACAGGATTTGGGGACACCTGGGGATATTTGAGACAGCACTGGGGACACCTGGGGACATCGGGAACAGGGTGAGGGACACCTGGGAATGTTGGGGACAGGGTTGGGGACACCCAGAGACACCGGGACCAGGGCTGGGGACACCTGGGGACAGGTTGGGGGCACCTGGACAGGGTTGGGGACATTGTAGACAGCAGTGGGGACACCTGGGGACATTGGGGACAGGGTTAGGGACACCAGGACCAGGGTTGAGGACACCTGGGGACATTGAGGATGGGGTTGAGGGGGTCTAAGGGACACCAAGACCTGGGGCACGTGAGGACACTCTGGGGACAGGACTGGGGACACCTGGACTATCAAAACCAGCCCTGGGGAAACCTGGGGACACCAGGACCAGGGCTGGGGACACCTGGGGACATTGCGGATGGGGTTGAGGGGATCTAAGGGACACCTAGACAGGGTTTGGGGACACCTGGGGACATTGGGGATGGGGTTGAGGGGTTCTAAGGGACACCTAGGCAGGGTTTGGGGACACCTGGGGACCTCGGGAGCAGATCTGGGGACAGCTGGGATGACGAGGAGGAGGAGGAGAGCTCTGAGGTGCCTCCCAGGCCGAAGCATCCCAGGATTCTGGGAGCTGCTGGTCCGTACTGGGACGAGGTGTGGCCAGCCCAGGGGAGGTGACAGCGTTTCCTGCCCCAGCATCCTCTCACCTTCCTTTTACTCACCTCAAATTCACTCCTGGGACTTCTTTCCCTGGAAAAACTGCCCCTGTTGGGTGGATCTGCTTGCTTTTCTCCAGGCTTTTATTTGAATTATTCTATTTATTTCATTTTTTCTGAAATTAAAACTGGAATGGTTCTGTCTCTGAGAAGAAATGGTCATTCCTGAGATATTCATCTCCAGTTGGAAAAGCATTTCCTTTGGCCGAGTTAAATCCCCTTTTTTTTGTCAACAAAATTCCATTTCCATGAATCACAATTGGGATTTTTTTTTTTTTTTTTTTTGGTCATTAGCACCCATTTTCATAATTTGTGGATGCAGCACGAGAAGAAAGAATAAAAAGCAACCACAGCAGGTCCGGGGGAGCTGAGAAATTCAAAGCCAGGCAAGACTTAAAACATCAGATCCTCCAGAAGCTTCAAGTTGGCCAAAAACTATTCAAACCTGAGGAGAAAAACTCCAGAAAGCTGCATTTATTTCCAAAATGTCATCACAGAGGTGAGGGAGGCTTTTAATTGCACTCTCCACACTTCCAGCATCAACAAACCCAGGGTTTCACTGGGAGGAACTCTCTCATTCCAATTAAAAGTGATTTTTTAAGGCCCCAGTGCTTAAGTCAGAAGTTGTTTCCACAGATAGTAAATGATTCTTAATAAGCAAAGCCTGTGGCAATAAAACAAAGAATAAAAATAATTCACATTTTCCAGAACTTGGAGAGTGAGTCCTTCGGATGTTCCCCCATCCCTCCACTCACAGAGTGCATGTAAAATACTGATATTTCCATATAATCTGAATTTATAATCATTTTTCCCAGAGAGTGATCTAGAAAAAGGCCTGTTCCAATTTGAGTCTCTTTCCTGTCCTATAATTCCCACTGTGGACCACACATGGAATTCCTACAGAGTAGATTTTGCTCCAAATTTCTTTTTTTTTTTTTTTTTTTTTTTCCTAAAAAGCAGCAGCAGCCAGGCTGTGCCCCGAGATGGGCTCAGCTAGGAAAAAAAAAAAAAAAAAAAAAAAGAAAAAATCTTCATTTTTCACCCAATCCCTCTTCTTCCAGCATCCCCTGAGTCATGGGAATGCTGCAAATAAAGCTGAGCTCCAGCAGCAAGCAGAGTTCATTTCAGATGGCTCATGTGAAAACAACCCAGCTAATTATGCTGCAGTAATTACCTGAAAATTATATGTATGTTGTTTTTCCAGCAGTCAATAGTGCTATTTTTGAACTTCTCATTGTTCTCATGGCCTGCTGGAGTCACGTTGTCTCGAAATCCTCTTTTTTTGGCTCATCACTCACTCACCTCTGGACTGGGGAGGGTTTTTCAGGAGAAGTTTCACCTGCAGCATTTTCTCTGCAGCTCAGATCCTCGCCTGTGCTGCATTTCAGAAAATATTTCCATTTTAATGGTCCTTCAAATAAGAATTACGAGGTCCTGACTCGACATCCCATCAAGATTTCCTCCTGAAAAATCAAAAAATGAAACATTAAAATCCTGGAAATTGGTGGATCCCTTACTGGGATCATCCTGATTTGGAAGAGTTCCATTTCCTTCAGCTCAGATCTTCACCTGAGAAAATATTTCCATTTTAATGGCCTTTCAAATAAGAATTACAAGATCCTGACTCAACATCCCACCAAGATTTCATCCGGCAGATAAAAAATCCTGAAAATTCATGGATTCCTGGCTGTGAGCATCCTGATTTGGAAGAGTTTCATTTCCTTCAGCTCAGATCTTCCCCTGTGCTGCATTTCAGAAAACATTTCCATTATAATGGTCTTTGAAATAAGAACTACGAGGTTCTGACTCAAGATCCCATTGTTTCCTCCCTCCCATCAAAAATCCTGAAGAATTCCTGGATTCCTGATTGGGATCATCCTGATCTGGAAGAGTTTCATTTCCTCCCCTGCCCTGGGTGGGGTTTGTGATCCTTGTCTGGTTTTTTTTCCTTTCAAGAGCCACCAATAAAAGCAGCTGAGTGTCACACCCCACTCCCAGGAAGGGAATGCTGTCAGGCAGCAGGGCTGGGAAAACGGGAGGCTGGAATTCTTGGATCAATCCCAAAAATCTCCTGCCACATTCCCTGTGTTTGCCCAAATCCGTGGGGTAAAACGCACTCGGAACAACTCCTCGGGGAAAGGGAGATGCTGCTGATAAAAGGTGTCTCCCTGGACTGCTGAGAGGAAATTAATTAACATTTGGAAAAGCACTTTGAGATTCTTGGATGAAAGATGTTGGAGCTGGAATGCTGGCAACATTCAAATAAGTTGGAATAACGTTAATATTTATTGCACACAGCGCTTTCATCTTCAAAGCTCTTTACCAACATCAATGAGTTAACAAAGAAAATATTAATAAAGATTGTATTTACCCATTAAATTACTCTCCCAAAGCATGGATAAATAGAGCTGCCTCCAGTTTAAAAAATAGTATTTAAAAAAAAGCTGAACCCCATCTCCAGTATCAGGCACTAAATCCCTGGTGGGGCTGTCCATGGAAAACCAACTTGGAACAAGGAATTATTAATTTATATTGTGAATGAGGAACTATTTGTTTGTACTTTTAATGAGGAATTGTTAGCTTATACTTTTAAACGAATTAATTGGACCTATTTTAAACTAGTTAATTGGATCCTAAACCTAATCCACCACAACCAGGGTGAAAAACCAGGATGGCAAAGGGGGAAGGAAGAGCAGTGCTTGGAAAAAGGATCTGGTTGGTGAGCAGGAATTCCAGAATCCCTGAGGTTCGAAAAACCCTCCAAGGTCATTGAGTCCCAAAAATTGCCCTCCCAAATCACACAAATACAGCTGCCTCCAGCTAAAAAACAGCTTTAAAAGAAAAGCTGAGCCCCCACTCCAGTACCATGCACTAAATCCCTGGCAGGGCTGTCCATGGCAAACCAGCTTGGAACGAGGAATTATTAGTTTATATTTTTAATGATGAATTATTATTTTATACTTTTAATGAGGCCAATTGGAAGCTAGGCCTAATCCAGCTTTTCTGGGAATGTATCACCCACTACCAGGGTGGAAAATCAGGATGGCAAAGGGGGAGGGAAGAGCAGTGCTTGGAAAAAGGCTCTGGTTGGTGAGCAGGAATTCCAGAATCCCTGGGGTTGGAAAAGCCCTCCGAGGTCATGGGGTCCAGGCTGTGCCCCATCCCCACCTTGTCACCTGAGTGCCACATCCAGAATTCCTTGGACAGCTGGGACGATGTGGAGGATGAGGAGAGCTTTGAGGTGCCTTCCAAGCCAAACCATTCCAGGATTCTGGAAGCTCAGCATCCAGGGCTGGGGACTCCAGACCTCCCTGAGCTGGCACTTCCAGGAGGAGGAGGAGGAGGAGGATGTTTGGGTTCGTTGTGTCTTTGGGATAAACTCCAGGGAAGGGAGGAACGCTCTGTTCCACGGGAAGAGGTGGAACCCCGGGGGAGCTCCCAGACTAAACCATCCCAAGGAGCTGCACTCTCCTTTTTCATTTGGAAGTCAATCCTTGCTGGCACAGGCACAGCTCTGCCATTATCCCTGGGAAGCTGTGCCCAGCAATTTACGGAAAACCAGTAAAGGAGAGAGCACTTCCAAGTGCATTATCTGCATTGATTGCAAACGCTCACGGGGCAGCCGGGGCCCTCCCCCAGCTGGAAAGATAAAGAGCACTTCCAGGAGAAACCAAGATAAATAAACCAAGATAAAGAAATAAAACAGGGGGAAGCATTCTGTTGTGATTTATCCCAAATCCCCCCCGCAACAACCCTGATTTATCCCCAATCCCACCCGTTTCCATCGGTCTCCCTGAGCAGAGTCTCCGGGCACTGGTGCACTCGGATGCATTCCAGCACATCATGGGCTGGGATAGATTTTTTAGAAGCCCTCGGTGCTCTGCACAGGCTCTGGAGGTTGTTTTGGGCAGCCCATCGATGCTCACACAAATATTCCTGCTCAGCGTGCCCTGCGCTCGCCGCTCCGGGCTCCGGCTCGCCAGATGTGCGTGCCACAAACACAAAGCCCTTCCCTGGATTTTTCCAGGCTTGCTGTCGAAAACACCACATTATCTGGGAAGTGTTTTTGGGTCTTGTCAGGACCGGGGCAGCTCCTCCAGAGCTGGCTGAAGGCTTTACAAACTCAGGCACACATTAAAGCACCCCAGTTAATCTCCTATACAACCCCAGCCAGGCAGAGCTTCAAATACGTCTCGTTTTGGAGGGAAATCAAACGTTACCTTTGGGAAATACGCTTATTATTAGCATTAGACACGGCTTTTGGGCTCCTTCCAGCGACTTTGCTGCGTTACAGGCGTTGTGTTACCGGCCTTGCTTTGTGTCCTGGATTTCCGGGCAGGCGGCGGGGCTGAGCCCTGCTGCTGCCTTCAGAGGGGTTTGCAAACATTGATTCTGGTCCTGACGCCTCCCGGCTGGCTGGGCCCGGGCAGCAGAGCACTCTGCTGGGGAAAACAGCACGGGAGCTCCAGCTGCGTGTTGGAGGCTACGTTTTGAGGTTGTATTTATGTTATAGTCCAAGGTTTTTTACTTATGTTATATAAATTTATTGTATTTTAATTCATTATATATATATATATATTTACTTATATTTATATTATTATATATGTAATTATATAAGTATATCATATAAATAAACTATATCTATTTTTTATATTTTAATACATATATAAATTATATCCATAAATTATATAAATATAATATATATTTACTTATATCTATATAATTACATAATATTTCACATTACTATTATTACAATTACATTATTATTGCATATTATTTACATATATTAATATAATATTTCTATACATAATTTTATACTATATCATATTTATATATCATCGTATTTTAATTTTTATTTTTGTAGTTATTTTATTTTTTATATTTTAAGATTTAATTTTTTAAAATTTAGCGTAACATGGTTTTATTTTAAATTATAAATGTATATATTTTTTTAATATTTAAGTTTAGAAGGTGTTTTTATGGTTTGATATTAAATTTTGTGTTTAAGTTTTAGTTTCTAGGTTTAAAGTTTTAAGAGTTTATTGTATATTAATTTTTTTTTTAATTTAATTTAAGTGAAGCACTTTAGTGATGGCCCAGACTGACAGCCAAACAAACAGCCAAGGTCTTTTCCTCCCCACGTGGTCTCTCCATAATCCTCCATTTCTCTCCTAGATCAACAGGTTCCTCTTTATTTGTCCCTGTCAGCTCTGGGCACAAAGAGCCTTTTGTGCGCAGCTCTGCCCCAAACCCTCCGCAGCTTTTCCTGCCCCTTCCCTCACATCACAGCCTCGGCCCCACCAGGGGAGACAACATCCCTTGTCCTGACATCAGCACGGACCCTGCTGCAGCACCAGCCAGCGAAAAATAAACACCTGAGCCTGATCTGCTCCAGATCTGCTCCAGAGCTCCTGCCTGGATCCTGCCTGGAGGCACCAGCAGCTCCCAGCACCTGAGCCAGGCAGGAGCTGCCTCTGCCTCTCCTCCTGATGCCTCAGGTTTAATTTTGTATTTTTCAGGTTCTGGGCTGCTTTAGTGGGTGGGTCTGGGCTTCACATTGGGGATGGTGAGCTCTGCACAGAGCAGGGAGACAAAACAATTCCTGCTCCAGCTGGGCACCAAGGACAAATGATCCCAATCTCAGCCCAAGAGCACAAACAGCGTGGAATGAAGAGAGGAAAACGATGCCTCGCTGAGGGACAAGCACCAGGCAAGGAGCAGAAGTCATTGATTTGCCCCGAAATTCTCCCAGTTTTCTGGGATTTGTCACCAGCTTGCACTCAAGCAAGGGGAAGGGTGGGAAAAGCTGCTGCTGGCTTGGAGGGACCTTGTGAGGAACATCCTGCACTTACCACGGGCTGGAGAGAGTTCATAGCCTGGAGCTGGCACTTGCTCTGCACTGTCACAGAAACCCTTTTGTTTTCCCAAGAAAAACAGCTCCGGAGCCAAATTCCAACCTGTCTCCTGCAGGGTGTGTCTTTGCCACATCACAGAAGTGGGTTTTGCTCCAGGTAACCCTACCCTGGAACCTCAAGGGTGGCTCAGGGCTGAGAGGAGAAGGGAACCAACTTTTTTTTTTTGTTATTATTTCACTTCTCTCACCAAGGATTTGCGTTGACAAATGTTTTTCCCAGAGCCTGGCAGGGGGTGGGACTGGTTTCACTTTCCTGGGTGTTTAAGGGCTGTGAAAGCTCAGCCTCGCCGTTTGCTGCTGCTCCAGAAGAGGGAGGAGAAGAACTTCTTATCTGCCCCCGGAGCCCTTATCTGAGCCGGCCAGCTGGGCGGAGCTGGGACAGCAGGAGGGAGAGGACAGACAGCATCTGCAAAGAAATAAAACTGAGAGAAAAGGGGGTTTTCTGCACCCAAAATGCCTCTTGTGACACCTAAAACGCCTCTTGTACACCCAAAATGCCCCTTGGGACACCCAAAATGCCCCTTGGGACACCCAAAACTCCTCTTGTGCCACACAAAACGCCTCTCGTGCCACCCAAAATGCACCCTGTGATGCCCAAAACGCTTCTTGGGATGCCCCAAACCCCTCTTGGGACACCCCAGACCCCTCTTGGGACACCCAAAATGCCCCTTGTACACCCAAAATGCCCCTTGGGACACCCCAAACCCTTCTTGGGACACCCCAAATGCCCCTTGGGACACCCCAAATGCCTCTCGTGCCACCCGAAATGCGCCCTGTGATGCCCCAAACCCCTCTTGGGACACCCAAAATGCCTCTCGTGCCACCCAAAATGCGCCCTGTGATGCCCAAAACGCTTCTTGTGCCACCCCAAACCCCTCTTGGGATACCCCAAACCCCCTAGTGCCACCCAAAATGCCCCTTGGGACACCCAAAACCCTTCTTGGGACACCCCAGACCCCTCTTGGGACACCCCTGCTGCAGCCCTGGGGTCAGAGGCAGAAGGGAGCAGCTCTCCCCGGCCTGGCTGTGCCCTCAGCAGGACAGGGTGGCACCTGTGATGTCTCCACGGGCTCGTGGCCCTCGGGCTCTGCAGCAGCACAGGAATATCTCCAAAAAAACCTCACCCTGGATTTCCTTCACACGGCGTTTGTGCCCCAAAAATTCAGCCTGGAGAAGAGAAGGAGGCTCCTGGTAGAGCCCAAAGCTGCTCCAGGAGAGGGACTTGGAGGGACAGGACACAGGGAATGGCTTCCCAGCGCCAGGGGGCAGGGAGGGATGGGATTTTGGGAAGGAATTGTGCCCTGGGAGGGTGGGGAGGGCTGGGTTGGAATTCCCAGAGCAGCTGTGGCTGCCCCTGGATCCCTGGAAGAGCCCAAGGCCAGGCTGGAGCCCCCTGGGACAGTGGAAGCTGTCCCTGCCATGGGCCTGGATGGGATTTAAGGTCCCTCCAGCCCAAATCCTTCCAGAATTCCATGATAATTCTGGCTTCAACCTGCTCAGCAATACTTTGGAGCAGCACAATTTAAAGCTGGACACCTCAGACAGAGCCACCACCCAAGTTCCAAAAACAAACCATCCCTCACTGGTAACACATTTAAAAAAGAAAATAGAAAATAAAACAAAACCCAGGCAGAAATGTGATGACAGAATTTCCTCCAGAACCTCTGCTACATGAAAATGAACACCAAAGCTTTTAATTTAGCTGAGATTTCACTGCGAAGAGAAAGACGTACAATTTGTTCAGGATGAGTTGACAGATGGGAAAATTAAGTCCTCTGTTATTGTTCCATGTGCTGGATGCAAAAAAATACTTAACACTTGCAGAGGACTTGGAGGGTGGGAAGAGCTCGGGAATATCAGCTGTCTGGACAAAAATGAGAGACAGCAGTGGCTGGGGCCGATCCTGGGAGATGCCACATGCTTCCAGCCTCTCCAAAAATCAGCTTTTTCCTGAGCATTCCTCCCTGTGGGAAAGCCAAGGAATAAAGGGGTGAATTTAACATTAGACCAAAAAAGCAGAATTACACAAGATCCTTTCTGTTTGATGTCTCCACCCAGTGAATTCTTTCAAAACAGTAACTTCTCTCTTCCAGTTGAATTTTCTTTTTTTTTTTTCCTTTTTCTTTTTTCAAGTTGGAAGCCTTTAGCTAAAATATCTTTCTTTTCTCTGCTAGTAAAGACAGACTGTTAGCACTGTTTTTTCCCTTCCCATTGAAGATGTCCTGCAGTTTTCTCCCATCTGGGGATCCAAAATTCTTTCAAATGGTACCAAGAAATAATTGGCACCTCTTGGCCAAAATTGCTGTGGAGTGGCTGCTCCTGTGTTCACATCTGGGCTCTCCCAAACAATAAATTATGGATTAATGGCACATCCTGGAGCAGACTGGAGGCCAAATTCCCCTCTGGGAAGCAGGGTTATGATGGACCTGCTGTACCAGGGATGTTCCCATATCTCCAAGTAAAAATCAGGTGTAAAATGATGGCAGGAAAGGGGTTTAAAAAAAAAAAAAAGGGTTTAAAACAACAAAAAAATGGGATTAAAGCAAAAAAACCCACCCAACCCCCAGCAATATCCCATTACTGTCGTGGTTTAAAGGGCTGGGTGTGGTTTGAGGCGCTCAGGACGCCGTGTCCCACGGCAAGCAGAGGGCTTTGGTGGTGTTTAATTGAGTTTGTTCCTCGTTATCAGCCAGGCAGGCACAGCCCGTCCCTTCTGCTCTGCTGCCCCGGCAGGGCCGGGGGGAAAATCCACACTGCTGCTTCCAGCAGCTGCCAGGAGCCAGCCCAGCCTGGAAAACCCCGGGAAAACATGGACACAGCCACAGCTCTCCCCTGCTGTATCCCAGCTCATCCCAAACCTGCAGGTTTTGCAGAAGGGACCAGCAGGGAATCATCAAGCTGGAAAATCCCTCCAAGAACGGTCCAAGCCCTGTCCCCAGGTGCTGTCCTGGTTTGAAAGGACAGGTGGCTGCTGAGGAAGGCAGGAGCCTCCCCTGAAATGGAAAATGTAACCCACCTCCCTCTGAATTATTGTAATTTGGAAATTAAGGGGCTCTCAGGCAAAGGTATGGGAGCAGGAATTGCAGTTCTTCGTTAGGAAAAATTAAAATAAATAAAAATAAAAATGCAGTAATACAAACTAACACTGCCAGAGCCAGAGCAGGAGCTGAGCCCTGTGGGTCAGGGTGGTGGCACAGTCCCCCAGCCACATCCTGCATTTCCAACCTCAGGCAGTGCCACATTTCCACAGGGATGTCCCAGGAGGACAGTTGTTCGTGGGACACTGGATTACCTCATTCCCTTGGGATCCCTCCCAGGAACTCAGAAGGAAAATCTCCCTGCAGGTACCAAGGGGCTCTCCAAGGCTCAACCCTCCTCCCCATCTCAGCTCCCTTTAGGCAAATCCCCATCTGTGCTTTTAGCCTTTTTCCCCTTCTTTCAATCATTTCTTTGCCCATGGAGATT